TCCCACGTTTTTCTTATGTAACTGCAAATGCATTAGACTGCTGGTTGGAATAAGATGGCAACCACTCATCAGTCTCTAATAACTACCCTTTAAATCTCTGGTTACCTTGCAGTGAAAAATATATAAAACAGCCATGGCTCACACTAAAGAGCCTTTCATGCCCCACTGCTGTATGACTCTAGGAGTCATTTAAGTGGCAAAAACGTCAACCATCACTGTAGGCATTTCAGCAGTTCATTACTGGAGACTCTCCTGATAGTCAGTCCCCATGTTAATAAGAAAATTAGGGCAACCAGAAAGAGATGGCTGGATGAAAAAAGCAACTTTCAAAAATTAACCTTTTCAACAACCATCAAAATACCACAAGAACACAGCAATGGTGTCTATTTTTACTATCCTGTTAACAATCACTTCATGATTTACCTAAAATGCAGTGCTGCTTACACCCTCTCCATCTCCTCCATGATTATCTTAAGTACCAAAACTGAAATTCTACAGCAGCATTTCCCAAACTGTTTCCATCTGTACACCCCATTTCTGGTGGGCTTGTCCCCCCACCCCCCAATACCAGCACAAACAGCTGAATTTCTTTTAAGCTCATAACCCCACTTGTAACTGCCATGCCCCACTCAGGTTTGCTGCTCATAGATTGGAAACCACTGCTCTAGCCACCGCAATGCCCCCCAACATGTTGTTAAAAATGAATTATACCCAAATCAAAATTATTGAAAGTGGGTTTTCACTATCTACACTATTCATATATTTATAATTGAGTTTGTGCCAACACTAAAGCAGCAGTCCATGTCAGAAAGGCAATGAACTTGACTTATGGTATTAGTTTTACCCAAATGACAGTACCTAGAAATATTCATCACCGGCACCAAGGAACAACACATCAGTGCCAGCCAGAGGAATTTACAAGCATCAGATGAGTCTGCCTACATGAAAGTGATGCTTGCAACTTACAGCCTTTTCTCTTTACACACATATTCTGAGCCTCAAATGTATATTTAATCAAGCATACACAATAACAGCCATAGTCTGCTCGTAACACAACCTGGTGAAGAAAGAAAGGAGAAAAGTACAAAAAGGAAGAAAAGGAGAAACCATCTATTCAATATTTTTCGTGTCCATTAAACATTTTTTTTTGCCTATTCCAACATGCAACAATATATATTTTTATAGGCTCAGACAAGCTTTGCTACCCTCAAAAATCTGTTAAAAATTATACTGTACAATCAATTCTACACAAGTTATTTAGAAAAGGCTATGGAGTCCTACTGGTTTCATTCCCAATGACTCCAATAGGATTTTCCACAGAAGAAAAATGAAAAAGGGCCACATTCAACAAGTCTAGCATAGGCACCATGGTGTTCAGCACCTTTGCCCATTACAGTTAAACCAGAGAGGCAGCTTTCATCTAATACCAGCACTACAAGACCATGCCAGCTACCTGACAGATCTCTCCAGCTATCTAAGGCTACTCTTAAGTTTCCTGAAAGAAAGCAGCCCCTTTTAAACTGCACTGCCCCTTTTTGCAACCCAAAACATAGAATTGGAGTCATGGCCTCTAGGTACTCCCAGATCCTGGTTATTTTAATATTTTCCAGAACCAGGGACGTCTGCCTTTATTTATATAAGCACAAGCCCTTGAACTAGTGACCAACTTGGGTCACATGCTTAACATTCCAGCTCTGAATAAAATTACTCATACGTCAGTTGAAGCCATTTTGCTTCTATTATGCCCAATCACAAGCAAATGGGGTGCTGTGCTCACAGTACATCCAGAGTCAGCATAAAAATGGCATGTCATGCCCTATGTAGGAAACCATCATAGCCAGTTGGAAAAATAAAGGAAAAATGCTGCGCTGTGGCAAAGTACAACTACAAACATCATAGGCAAGCCCTGCCTCTGCAAGCATTAATAATTTGGGTCTTAAACCAAAAAGCTTGTACTCAGAAGAGCACTGTCATTCAGTCTAACACAGTCTGATCCCCAATACAAACAACACCAGAAAAGCACGCAAGCTGAGTCTTTGATGATGCCACTACCAAAAGAGCAGGGTATGTTAAGAGCTGAAGTTGACAGCTATCACTTCAGACAACCAGAAAAGCAATGACATTTTTGCTTTTAAATCTGGGAAATGCCACACTGCTCCACATAACATAAAAGTGGAAATTTTTGCTCCACTAGATACCGTATTTACTTGGATACAAGACGAGGTTACCCCCCAAATCAGCATGGGGCAAAAAGCCCCTTCTCTTATATTCGCATGTGAAGCAGAGTGGAGAGAAGGCAGATGCTGCTGTTCTGCCTCTGGTCCTGAACCTCAGTCAGAGCCAGAGTCAGACCTACAGCAGCCTCCTGCCCCACTCCCAACTTCCCTTCTGCAGCTTCAGCCCTCCCCTCCTCCTTACTGTCAGATGCAGCTTGACTCTGGCTTGGGCTGGAGTTTCTCCTTGGTACATAGCACATGAATCCTCTTTCCCCTGCCTGGCCAATCACCAGCACCAACATGCTGCATGGCCAAGCAAGGGCTGAGCTTCCACATGCTCAGGATGGATCACACCACAGTATCTGACAATAAGGGTGAGGAGGGGAAGAGGCAGAGGCTGGGGAGCAAGGGAAGGTGCAGGGAAATAGGCAGAGACTGGGGGGTGGGGGTTGCAGGGGAAACGGGCAGAAGCTATGGGGAGCTAGAAGGGTGCAGGTGGCAGGGGGGCAGAAAGGCTGCAAGGGGAAGAAGTGGACAGGGCAAAGGGCAAGAATTGGACAGGGAAGAAGGCAAAAAGTGGGCAGGGCGGAGGGCAGTAGCTGAGGGACATGACCTGCCCCCCAGCCACTGCTTTCCCTGCTATAGCAGGGAGGGGGGGAATTCAAGACAATCCTCCAGTACTTAAATTCTATACCTGGAAATTATACCAAGTTTAAATTTTCCATGTATAGAATCTAATTACTGTGGCATCATCTTATATTTGAGTAAATATGGTATTCCTCAATGGACACTTACTTGTGTCTAGCCAAAAAGCAAGCTTATGATCTAAATTCCTAATGCTTCATACACCATTTTTGTACTTTCAGGCACCACTTGTACAATCTTCAAAATTTTCACAGTAAGAACTGCACAAGGCAGAGGCACAAAGAAGACCAAGGAAGATCAGTAAAGATGGAAAAGCAGAGATGAACCAACTAAAAATAAGTGCAAAAATCCCACTTTATACTAAGGGTGATGCTTTCCACCCTGGAGTGTTTAAACTAAACTACCATAAGGCTCCTGCTTTCTTCTTGGGAGCCTCATCCACCCTCACACCCACCCCATAAAACTGGAAGTGAATGATGATCCTAACCACAGTGACTCAAGTCAGCAGCAGTGCACATCAGTTTAAAATATCTAGGAGACAGCCTGGTCCCAGTTTAGCTCCATTCTCCATGTTCTTCTTTATAATTAGGTCTCCAGGCAAAAATTTAGTATTGTCACAGCTTTTAAATCTACTGCATTTATTTAATGACACAGACTGTGACATGGGAAACATTTGGGAGAAGGTGGGATTTGGGAAGCAAAACAAATCTATTCCCTGCAGAATACTGGACCTTTTTTTTCTCCCCCACGAAAAATATTGCAGTCCCCTATTTGACCCCAAGTGTATTTGGATCAGGCCCCAAGCTTCCAAACTCTTTTCACCATCAAACACCTTTTCTGTCCATCAGAAATGGATCACTGATTTTGTGACTGCTGCCACAGCTTTGATTTGACCCTTCCTCTGAACACTTACCTCACTGTTGTGGCCCCTTAAATTGAAGTTGATCCTCTGCGGGGTGTTCCGGTCTCTCCTACAGTGGCTGGAGGTGAACGTCACCCCTACAACTCCTCGGCCGTTGCCTGTGGCCAACCAGCCCTCCTCATAATACCGCCTCCTGCACACCGGTTTCTCCTTCTCACTTTTAGGAACTCTACCCTTCCAGGAGAGACACAGGATGTTGGAGTCACTGCACAGAACAGGCCCATGTTCCACTGCTGCATACATGGTTTTTTTTGTTTTTTATTTTTTGACATAAGAAAGCAATATGTCTATTGCACAAAAATTTAAATCAATTTATTTATAAGACTGACCTGGGATAGACCATTGCAGGAGAGGAGGGTCAGTGTTTATAAATATCCACCAAATGCATAGTGAAAAATTCCTCTATAAAAGATGATGGCAGTTGGCTAAGAAAAAGTAACACTTAAAAAAAAAATTCAGGTTCATTTTGTCTTTGAGTCATTAGAGCGAGGGTGCACTTTTCCTTTGGAGAAACAGCTACTTCGTAAGAGGCGCTCGAGAAACGGTAAGTCGTCTTTTTGCTCAACTTGATATAATCTTTATACAGCCTGAGATTCCAGTTTAGTGTAATGCAATTCCAGACACAAAGAGTTGCAAATGTGTAGGATTCAAGTAACTTAAGGCTTTAAGATTTCCTCCAGTCAGATTTTCTTCAAAAGTTCAGTCGCAGAAATTTAAACATGCGCACATACATACATATGTATAGATATGACATTCCTTGTCTCCAAGCTGCCCTCTGGCATATCCTCCCCACCTGATGTATTTCTGCTGCTAAAGCTGAAAGAGATTGCATAAAGGGGAAAAAGGCACACAGACCATACGAAACAACAGACACCACACTTGTACAGGCACCAGCTTGCCAGGCCAAATGGGAAACTCCCTCTTGCTACTGAACTGTTTGTTGGACTCAATGTTTTTTGCAATCCAAAGCCAGTCCCATTTTCATTGTAGCTCTTTTGTCCACCAGAGACTAAGTGCAGCCTGTGCTGTTTATCACGCTATCTTGCCTGCTTTCCCACTTCTCACTGCCACACAGGAATGAAAAAGAAAACCCCTTTTCATTTAGCAGAATCCAAAATGTTCGAAAGCTTTTAGCTTTTAAAGCAGTGAAGTTTGCCTCAGGTGAACCGTGAAGTTCTCTCCCCTCTGGAACAGGACTATGCGTCAAGCTGTTTTTTCCTTTACTTTTCCCTTTTTCCTACTACCAAAAAAAGAAGCGTCATAAATTTTCCATCCTGCTGTAAAAACAGGTGTCAGAATTAAAGCTCATCAAATAAGCACTCTTTGCAAATCTTCTAGGATTCAAGGGAGGATGAACTATAAATCAACTAAAAAAGGAAAAGAAGCAGCACTAAAAATCTGACTTCTTGGTTTTACTGTCTCCTTCAATAATTTCCTTACTTGCTCGATAGGCTCTTTCCTTCTTGATTCTTGTCTAGAGCACAGATTCATAGTTCCAAACCCTACATTTGCAGCTGTACAAGAAAGGAACATAATAAAGTGTTCCAATTATTTTATTTGAATAATGTTTGCAAGCTTGATTGTTTAATACTTATACCATACTAAGCAGTAAGATAAAAAGGAAGGGGCAAAAGAATAAGCAAGTTTGAGGACCCAGTTAACTCAGTACAAAAAACAAAGTTTGCATTTCAATGCCCAGACTTGTCCCACAGTTCCTGAACTTGCTTTCTTCCAGTCATCACTACAGAATAAAATGGTCACTATTTATTAGTCCAGTACATTAAACCCAATTATAGTTGACTGAGTCCAATGCAAAAAATGTGCCAAAGACAGTACATTACTCCATTTGCAATACAAAAGTCAGTTTCTTTTTCTATTTTCTTCTGTTCTCCTCTCAATTACTCCTTTAGATTCCAGAGGTATGTATTAGGCTTTACTGTGCACAATGTATTTTTTCTTCTTCTTGCAAATGTTTTTCACCCATGTAGACCACGTAGAAAGCTGACCATTAGTGGCAGGTGTCTTTTCATAGGCTCCTGATCCCTGTGCTGTCAAGTTGCTCCATCTGATTTTTAATTTAATTTTCATCAATTATAAAACTTTTTGTATGCAAGAATAAGTCTGCCGGGCTGTGAAAATGCATGCAAATATACATACATCTGGTACATGTGCACACACTCACTCAACCTGGTACTTGAAGCGGCATCTGCATTTTCTGTTTGGCAACAGCTGTCTTATACGATGTCTGTCATTCAAAGCTTGGTTTCTCCAGATTTGTTCAACTCTGCAAGACAAAAGACAGAAAAAGATGGTGAAAAAAAGGGCTGCAGCAAATGGTTGCTTGAGATACCCAAGAGGTATTGCTGCTGCAATACAACACAACATTGAGTGGATATTTATATATAGTTTCTCTCATTCCTGAAGAACACAAAGCTTTTCATGATCTACTCACATCCAAAACTCAATTAAATGCAGCTAAGTCTACTACCATGAGAACAGATAACAGCTGAACAGCATACTGAACAGTAAGAGGAAAGGGACAGTTCTTGGCCACAGACACTAGGGCAAATTCACATTCCCACATGAAAGACAGAGCAAGAGTTCTGCAAATGTTAATCTGACAGACACACTTCAAGGTGCAAACACTCAACTTATCCTTCTCACCCAAATAAAGGGTTGAACTGATTCTGCTTCAAGAGGTCTATGTAATCACAAACCTAATGATTAAAGAGAGGTAGCTGGCCATGTTAGCCTAAGTTAAGCAGAAGGCAAGGCAGTGTGGTACCACCTTACAGACTAATTAATTGAGAGAGGCAAGAGCTTTCATAGGCTATAATTAGACCTACCAAATTCACGATTATGTGATTTTTGCAGAAACTGCAAATTTGATAGGTCCCCCATAAAAAATCCCAATCCCTGCAAAAAAGCACAGGGACCATTAAAAAGCGCAAAAAAGGCAGTAAGCAGCAGGGGTGCAAAAAAGACGCTGGGGGAAAAAAAAAGCATGAGAAGCCCTGGCATCGTGGAGTTGGGGGGGGGGGGGGGGGGGGGGGGGGGGGGGGGGGGGGGGGGGGGGGGGGGGGGAAGGTGTGAAGAGGAGGAGGAGATGGCCAAAGGCCCCCAGATATCCTACCGCACCCTGGAGATTGGCAGATAGCCATCTGTCAATTTCAATGATGGTGCCACAACATCCTGCCTTCTCCCTACTGATTAAAGTTGAATTAAATGGGAATAAGTTTTAAGTATTACTCAAGTCCTGAACTAAAAACGATCACATGCTACCAAACAAGGCTAGATTTGAACAAAGGAAAAAATAATAAAAAATTTAAAGTACATTTTTATAAAGAAGAGGATATGGGCCAAAACAAGTGACAGGCATTTCAAGTGTAGGCAATTATTGCAGCAACATTAATTTTACTACAGGGTGCTCATCTGGGTTCAGAACTCCATTCAAGATCCTCTTTACAGCTGTATCACTGTCCAGGCTAAATGCACATGACTCTTGTGTTAATGCCATATTTAGAACAATTGTCCTTATCAGTATCTAATCCAGATGTACTGGTATCAATAGCAATTTGTCCACCTGAGACAGGGTTATAAATCTGGACTATGGACAAGGAGGTAGAGTAGTTTACAACACAATTTAGCTAGCATGCTTCTCAGGAAAAGCCTGTCCATGCAACTCAAGTGGCAGATCTCCTAACAATAGCTGTTTTAACATGGTAATTGCTAGCAGATTTTTTTAATTATAGCATGACGATTTAAAACATGTGTTAAATCTTCTGGATTTATAGTTTCATAGTCTCTTAGGGTCGGAAGGGACCTAAACAGATCATCAGGTCCGACCCCCTGGCCTGGGCAGGAACAAGTGTGGGGTCGTCACACCCCAGTCAAATATCTGTCCAGCCTCCTCTTGAAGACCCCCAAGGTAGAAGAGAGTACCACTTCCCTTGGGAGTCCATTCCAGAGCCTGGCAGCCCTAACCGTAAAGTAATGTCTCCTGATGTCCAGCCTGAACCTTCTCTCTAACAATTTGTGGCTGTTATTCCTAGTAATCTCAGGTGGTGCCTTGGGGTACACAGCCCAGTTCCCGCTGGTCCCCCCTGGTGCGTTTGTAAACAGCCACCAGATCCCCTCTCAGCCTTCTCTTGTGGAGGCTAAATAGATTCAGGCCCTTCAGCCTCTCGTTGTAGGGCCTGCCCCACTGCCCCTTGACCATGCGAGTGGCCCTCCTCTGGACCTTCTCAATGCTAGCCACATCCCTCTTGAAGTGCGGTGCCCAGAACTCATGCTTTTTACGGTGGATGCCAAATAAACTTGGTGTTAAGGGTAAATTCAAAATCTTTTTTAGGAAGCAATGATTTCAGGGAGAAACTCTATGCTCATACTGTAAAACAAATGTGATCCATGATATGGTGAATCAGAGTGGTTATCTGCATCCTCCTTCAGGCTCTTCCTAAATAGATAACAAAGTAAATAGACAAAAATGAAGTTTTTCTACCTATGGGGACTTTTTACCATCTTTATTTTCCCTGAACCTGAGGAAGGGCGAGTGAGCCTGAAAGCCTGCAGAAAAAATATTTTTTTTTGCAATTTCTTAGTTGGTCTGAAAGAAGGTATCATCTCTGAACCAAGAGCTCTAGAGTCCTGCATTCCTAAACAGATAACACATTTGAATCCAACAACAGGCCCTTTGCATTACTTTTTTTAACTTGTACCATAACGCAGGCATTTACTAAAACAGGAAAGCTTTTCATACACTGCACAGGCTGTCCACAAAACATCAGAAATGGAGGCGTAAGTAAGTCTTAGGACCCTGCTACATGTTACATACATTACACAAATAACTGTTTAAACATGCAATAAATTCAGACCAGACACACGTGCAAAGTAATTAACACATGATAAAAATGACTATCCAACTAGAAAAGAGCCAACCAGCTATAAAGTTAGTGCCTGAAAATGTGTAACAACTCTATAGCTGGTTTCTATCCAGCTTTAATTTGAACATGTAACAGGGCCTTCAAACACAGCTAGCTATCTGAACTGCAGAAATATTGTGTCTTTAAAAATGGATTTTCAAAAGATAGGTAAGGATATACAAAGTAGCCTTGCACCACTTTTAAATACAATCTGACCTTATTTGCCCTGTACTAAAGTTAATGGGCTTTAGAAAATGAATCCTCCTGACTTCTGATCCATTGCTTTCTCTCCCCTGATTCTGCAGTTAAGTCACAAAGCTGATTTCCTGTCATTTTCAGTTATACACTGATGGCCAGTGCTATAGAAAAGATTCTGATTTCAGTAAGGGATCAGGCATAAGGAAAAATATTTTGACAGAGGGATAGCAGAGAAATGAAAGTGCCCAAAATAAAACTGAAAAGGAAATAGAATAAGAGAAATGTTCTTGAATGAACAGGTAACAGGAATGATTTATTCTTCACCAGGGCAAGTCTACCTTCATATTTACAAGCAACTGAAAAAAAATCTACATGCAATAAAATTATGCAATGCAAGGTAAAATGAAATTATAAAGATCATAGTCAAGCACACTAATGCTAGTATTTGCCAACATTAAAGTTACACTTACCATGTAAATTCACTACCATCCGACTGTACAAGCATTATGATAGTCTTAATTACAAGACCACATGCTTTCCATTTTCCTGTCCCACCCGCACCCCAAGGATCTCTCTCTCACATTCAGTTTATTCTGTGTTCTGCCCTCATATCTCTTTGCCCATGTCCTCAACCCCTTCCTGTCTCCGAACTGCTTCTTCCAACTTCTTTGCCTCAATTTCCTCTGGGAATAATGATACAGACCATTTTACAAAACATGTTGAGATCTACAGATGAAAAGCACTGTAAAAGCTAAGTGCTATCATTACGTACGTCAAGCTGCTGACATTAATATAGTATGGATTCATGTAACTAAGGCAACTTGGATTTTCAAGTGGAACTCATGCTAATAGTATCAGCATGTCACATCAAGTACTCTATCTAGAAACTTTGTATTTGGGCTCAATATTTTTTTCTCTTATCACTGGTCAAGGCCAAAGTTTTCTAGTCCTGAAGTTACTTGTTAGAATCCACTGAACTGTTTCAGACACTGGCAGATCATCAAATACAGAGGGATGGCAGTAAGTCTTACTTAAAAGGTGTCTCACTTTTTATGCATAGCTAAACATACCCAAATTCTGGTTCCCCCTCCAGCAGAGAGTCAAATGGCATCAGAGACTAACAGTGGTGATATTAAGTCCCTCAGCCGCAGACACTCAATAAAAACAGGCACATATCAGATCTGAGGTAAGGGAAGAAAGATCTAATATTTTCTCTGCTTTAATGTGGTAGACCAGCATAGCTCCTCTCAGATGTGGAAACAGGAACTGCTTGTGTTTTTTCACTTTTCAAAGGCAGACTACTCACCATGACCACTCCTAAGTATTTTGTACAAAATACAAGTATATTAAGGCACAGTTGGACAACCAGAAAAATATCCGCTTTCATGTCTCCTTCATTGAGCTATCCCTCTTTCTTTTTGTTGACAGTCACATACAGTCAAATGTAACTATACCATATTGAGCTCTCCACCATTTTCCTTTGATTTCATAGCTCCCAGCCTTCAGGGCTTCACAATATGTTACTTGTTTCTTAAGGCAAAGGTATGCACCCTACTTTTAAATTACTAAACAGATTCCTGCCTTAAATGTCAGAAGCCCTGAACACCCAAATTCCATTAAAAAGATGGACAGTTACAGATTCTTTGCACCTTTAAATTCAGGCCAGCAGATTTCAACTCCCTAGAAGTAAACAAATGCTGCCCACTCTCAAGGTCACAAGATGCAACAATAACTTGCAAACACCCCCTTTGCTACCTCAGTAAAGGCAAAAATATCCCAGACAGCCACAACAATTACAATCTGCAGATATAAAATAAGGCCACAATCCTGCAATCTGACCTGAGAGCAGGCTCTTATACAAACAGGCTCTGCAGGTGTTGCGTGCAATGATCCAAATGCAAAATGAGGGCCTTAGTGCATTCAACTGACAGGATTGAAGGTAGAGTAGGTATAATACTACTTTAAAATATTCAAGCCTTTTTACCTTTGCTAGCTGCCTTAAAAATGATTTAATAATCTAAAGTCAAGTTTCCTTTTCCTAATTTGTCATATCTCTACTGAATTTCTCTCCTTTTGGACAATGACAATTAACTGGATTTGCCTGGGGAAGGCAAGCAACTTACACCTGACCCATAGGCTAATCAATCCTTGAGACAAATTTCAA